TCGATTGATTCTCAGCTATCTTCTCATATAGTTCATATGCATCATCGATGTCTAGTTTCATCACTGATCCATCTGCTGAAGCATCTATCATATTCCTGAACTCCTGATGTAGTCCGTTATAGGAAAGATATTGTTTAGCCTACTTCGGAATGTCCAAGCTAGGGCATTTTCTAAATAGATTTTTGAACCTTTCCCATGCTTAAAAATGGCTCTCAAAGTCCTTCTTCTTGAAGGTGTAGATTTCATTCTTAATTTGGTGAACTCGAGAGGGTGGGAAGAACTTCATGGTAAATTTTTGAACCATATCATTCCCTTGAAGCATCCTTTAAGGTATGAGGGAATAGTCTCATTCGGAATGCATCTGCCGATATCCCTTCGTGACTGATCACTTCGCATAGCATGAGAAATGCTGAAATGTATTCATGAGGATTCTCTGTAAATTTTTCGAAAAACCTGATGTCTTGATGATTTTGAAACAGACTTATGACATCCGGTCTAAGGTAAAAATTAGGTTGTCCGAATGGAGGATAAACTACATCAGGTTGCACTGGAGCGGGAATTGGATTGACATAGTCTCCAACTAAAATGGGAGCTTTATTCTAGATGGATCTCTATTTATTTGGTTGCGGAGTTGATTGTCAACTGGAATATTAGCCTGATTCTGTTGTTGATTTTGATTATCAGCCATTTTCTTTGCTTGACGTTGACCTCTCCTGGGATTTCTGAATGTCCCTTCAATTTCGTGATCTATTGGAGCTAGACCAACCTTGTCAAGAGCTTGCATAAACCAAGTTTACATGAAAAGAGTCAACACAAAAGAAAATGAAGCAATGTAATACCAATCTTCAACAACAAAAATAAAAATAAAGACGAATCTAGAATATCAATAACTAAAATTAATATTGTTATTCTCTGGCAATGGCGCCAAAAACTTGTTGCAAATTAATTTTGTAAGCATACGGTTTTGTTGTACAAATAATAATTGTGATGAGTGAGTTATCGTCCGACATGGAATAAGGATTAATTTTAGTGTAACCGATATATCTAAATTAGAAACAATAATAAGATATGGTGAATTTATTTTTTTATTTAACTATGTTCTAAAACTAAGAAAATAATAAAATTATGGTTTTTGAATTAAATGCGAATGAGTATATTGGATTTCCGATTCCACTTAGTGACTCTAGCATTCAATTCTCAACTTGTGATAATTACTTCAATCTTTGCATTTGTGAGGATCGATAATTCCAATTTTATTTACTAATTACTATTCTTTTCCAAGATATAATAAATCTATGTTGATCACGATACGATCCTATTCCTAGTCCACATTCATATGATGAACATGCATTAAAATATAGGATTATCACACAAGATCGCACACTTCACAAATATTATTCCTAATGTTTATTCTTCATTTGTTCCACATACAGTGTTTTACCTATCGTGAGTTTTCCAACACTACGAATCAGCAACTTATTGCCCTAATGGTCTGCAAACATTAAAACAATATGAAAAAGCGTGTATATAGAATCACAACGCAATAATCAAAATAAAAATCACAAGTCATGAATTAAAAACTAGAAATAAAATAGTTTCATCATCCATCCAATACAAGAAATAATTAGCCAAGCATAATGTTCTGGAAATCACACAAAAAGATTTGGAAAAAATCACCCGGAATGAAAAATAATGAATGGAAAGTGAAAACTCAATTTCTTCTTTGTAATTCTTCAACCGGGCTTTTGAATATTCAATCTCTTGTGATAATCGCCTTTGAATCTTGTGTTAAACTCTTTCTTGTGGTGAAATTTTGGATTTGATATGCTTTGAGCCGCTCACGTCATTCATCCCCCCTAGAAAGTAGGTTAAATTTTGTTTTTATAAGAATTTGGATAAAACCAAAAAATTTGGCCGTTTAGGCCAAGAAATATCATGTGCACGCGCACCGTATATTTCTTTCCCCACGTGCCATTCAAGTGTTTCGCTCTCGGTAAATCAAACTTGAGCCCGTGCGTGCACGAGAGATTATGCTTGTGCACGCGCCTGGCATAAAATGTTCCAAGTGTTGCACTTTGGTCCTCGAATTTCATTCTTTATTTCTTTTGGCTCTTTCGTTGTATTTTCTTGACCTCCATCTTACAATTTCGTCTAATTGACTCCAAAATCTCTCCAATCATCGATACTAGGTCCGAATCATCTATTAACATTCTGTACTTTAGTCCCCAAACTTTGGATTAGGTCCACTTTGGCCAATTTTCAGCCCATTTTCTTCAATTCCATGGTTTTGCATCGAGATGTACCTATCAAACAAGATATATACAAAATTAAGCCTCAAATCATTTAAAGTAACGACAATTACTTTAGTTTAGTGGCACAAATAAGTGTATAAAATACACTTATCAGTCATCATCCCCATCTAATTTTCTAAGTTTCAAACAATGGATGACTCGAAAATCCACAAATTTTAATAAGTTGTCTGATAATATTGATTGTGTACACACCAAGCTCGCTTTATGTGCCTAAAGATGAAAATGTGTGAATGTCACACCTTGGTTAA